AGTTGAAGTAACACGCTGTTTACAGTACAAAGTAGGTAGTTACACGTATGTAGTTGACTGCTGGACCCAATGAGGTATCACCCGACTATTTGGCTCAAGGCTCAAGTAAAAGTGAGCGTAGCTGTTTGCTTGCTTTCCTTTGTACGCACGCTTGTTTGTCGTGTGTTCAACTATCTATATTCAACGGATACGAGCATTCAGACACACAGCATTATACATTCATAGAAGTTAAGAAAAAAGTTGTCTACACCTCTCTCTCTCTATATATATATGTGTGTGTGTGTCCGTATCTGTAAGTACGTATGCATGTAGTGATCTTGCAGGCTCGCTAGGAAGCGGGCTCATGATGCTGTGGAAAAGCCCTGCTGTCATTGTGGCCCCTTCCCGAGGCAACTGTGCTGGGCCGACCTTCAAGGCGCTTCTGCCACCGGTGTTTGTCGGCACTTGGCCGGCATGGATGCATGTCTATTTGTTTACCCATGCATCAATCTGCTTGACAGGCTGCTATAAGTGTAAGAACTGCACGTTAAACATGGTGTCATGTGCTTGGGTGACTGCTGTTCGTTTGCTTGTGGGTTGTTGTAGTTCAGGGTCGGAAGTGAGCGAGACTGTGGTTTCAGTGAAATGGTTGAGAAACAAGAATTTGTAATCAGGCAGAGCACCATTCTCGAGAGGGATCATTATTCCGTTTTACAGTGGTGCTGAACACATTGTTAAGCGGACGTTGGCCCAAACGTTCGCCGACTGTACTGTCACAAGTTAACCGTCTGAGCAAGTCGCCTGTCTGCAGGCACTCGTCCCGACCTTGCACAGGGTCTGGGGCATATTCGCGGAACCTCACACCCCACCCCCCACCCCCCCTCATCACACGCCCCCAACCCCACCACCCTCCTCAATCCTTGATCCTTGCCCCGCAAACCCTCAAAACCCTGAAACCGTCTGAACCTGTGAAGCGCCCCTAAAGAAAACACGAATGTGCGTATAGCCATCAGCTTCGTCAGGTAGGTGTTTGTTGAACTGGCTTCCGGCATGGGATGCTTATAAGTTTATTTTGCCTGTTATATATGTTGTTTCTTGTGGTATGCAGTGAGCTGTATGGGGTGTAGGTGGTGATCTTGGGTTGCCACGCTTCCCCGTCTTGGGTTCAGGAGGCTTGGGAGATCTTTGGAGACTAGGCGTGGCAATGCGCTGTCAAATAGGAAGGGAGCGAGGTTACAAGGTTTCGGGCCTTCGAGCCGAGAGGGTTCTCGTGTGATCCTAGGCGTGTTTGGTGGCTGGATCGCCATTGCGCTGTGGGCTCGGGAGGAGCCGAGTTTGACTGAAAAAGGTGCATGGACGGTTTGAAGTGTGGCATGTTTCCCAAATTGAGACGGGTGAACTCCCAAACCTTTAATAAACCTTCTGTTCTGGAAGCTCCTGTAAAGTGTTCTCCGAAATTCGATGCAGTGGCGAGCATCACAGCTAGGTTCTACCTGCCAGGACGATGCCGAATCGTTCCACGACGCAAGCGTCCGAGCTGTTGCGAGCTTCCCCCCAGAACGGTACTGGAGTTCAGTGCTCAGGGTCTCCGGGTGGTTGTTTTGGGACTTAGGTGCCAAGCCGTCTGTGCAGTTTGTGGTGCGATGTGGTGCAATGTCTCCCATTGCGCACAAGAACGCATCAAGCATGCCCAGGAACGCCGAAGCCTGTCATAAGGCACATTAAAAGTAATCACCTTGCATTATGTCTTGGATCTCAAAGCAGAACTCAGGCAGCGTTGATCGCTGGTTCTCCAGGCCTTCTACACCGAAAGCTTAAACCGTTTTTTTGGTGGATAGGAGTTTCCGACAGGTTCCTTGCGGTGTAGGGGAGACGACGTTCAGGTCCTGGTGAGCTACTCGACAGCTGGAGGGGGCGGCACTTTGCTGTGGCTTTGCCGGCAAGGACTGAAAGGCGATCCCTTTAGGGTTTAGGGTGTAGGGTTTAGGGCAACTGAGCCTGTGGAAAAAGGGTATGCCTGTGAGAGAGAGAGAGGACTAACTCCAAACCTGGCAAGCTCGATTTCTTTTGGCCTCTTCGGGGTCAAAAGGAATCGGCTGGGACTATGTCAAATTCTTCAACCTTCCAGCTAACAGGAACACACTCTGGAAGTAGCAACGTACTGAACTTGACACTGCAAGCAGTAGACTTGTTTTATGCACTCATTCCTCAGGTCCAGGCTCTTGAACCCACTGGTGATCTCCTTGGGCTTGCTGCTGTGGCTGGCCTAGCTCGGAAACTCTCATGAGGGCTCTGCTACAGGGTTCGGGGTTTCGGGCGACAGAGACAGGGAGGGTTTGATTTTTGGGTTTGAATTTTGGGGGGCATCGGCTTTAACGTGTAGAAGTTGAGGGCTTCTTGGCTCGGTGATGAAATGAGAGGGGGTTTTGCGGGTTTCGGGTTTGAGTGTTTGAGTGTAGAATCTTCAGGTTTTCGTGACCAAATTGCTCTGTCATGTTGAATATCTAAGTGGCGCAGTTGTTAGGATGTTTTAGCCAGGTGAAGAAGCCATGCCCTTCATCTTTTGTCGGGTGGCGTGCTGTTTCTGCGGGTTGTGCCTTGGCGGAGTGGTTGCAGACTATTTCCTCGAGTTTCAGGTTAGACGTCCTGTCAACCTTGATCCTGTCTGTGAGTGGGTCCGGGTTTAGGGCATCCCTGACTGACCCAGTTCATTCAATCAAGCCAGAGTCTGCCGATCATCGCCCAAGCCTCCAAGCCTTTTCTCCAGTTAAAGGTTCGAACGTCGGCACTTGCTGCAACGGGACAGCAGGCCGCTAGCTTTGCAGGTGCTGGACTTGAACATAACCTCACCAAACAGCGCTTAATTACTCTACGCCGAAGTGGGTTAAATAAAACCCAAGATTTCCAATTCGGCGGGCGTTTTGGTCTTTGGGATCCGAAATTTTAACCATTCGGTACTGGACGGTTTTGGTTTCACAACCTGCAAGCTGAACAGGACGTGGATTTGTGAGGGGTCTATTTCAGAGCTAATGGATCGTAAGACTTGCAATATCTCTTTGTCTCAGAGTCCGCGTTCCCCATCCGGCTCAGCAGCCTGCATGTGAGCCCAGTGCTTGTAAGCTGCTGCGATGTTGCAACCGATGCTCGTAAGTCAAAGGTTTTGCTGGTGAGCTCCGGAATTTCTCGCAAGTCAACCAGTCCAAACAGCAAGCCCCAGCAAGTTTCTACTAAAGAATTAGTTAGGAAGAGACCTACTTGCAAAGCGCCGACCCCAAACTGAAACACTTGACAGCCCCAAGGGTCATCGTCGGAACGGCCTTACTTGCAGCAGTCTGGATCCCAGGTTTTGAACATTCTCTGACGGTATTGCGGGGTTCTGTTCTGTGCGGATCTCAGGTTTACGATACTTCGAGGTATGCACTAGAAAGGCTTGGAGTTCCAGTGATTCCAGTGGCCATGTGTCACTAAACGGCTACCGCTACGGACACTCACCACAGCATTCGCAACATCACTACTTTGGAGCCTGTACAACGTGTGTAGCGCTGAAAAGCTACAACATGTCTCGTCGTGCTCGTATGTTGCATGTCGATAAATTTTCCTCAGCAGTGATCTGAATGGGATGGTGGTTGCCATCTGCCATTGAAAATGTCAATACTCACAATGTGCCGCATCTTCGGCATGCTCACACTTTAAGTTCTTAAGTATACTCGTGCTAACAACTTGTCTACCGGTGCCTGTGAAACCGATTAGAGATTTCAGAAAGGTGGCCCAACATGAAAATCAGATCAAGCAACTTTGCTTTCGACAACTTCAACTTCGTGGGCTGACGCTTCAGTTGGGCATCTTCCCGCAACATTTTCCCGACAATTCTGTCCAAGATGCTGATCCCTTTCTGTTTCAGAATTTGATTTTACAGTTGTGGTGATCACAGTTGCGGCCAGCCAGTCTCCGCCATGAACTGCGCAGGTGGCCGGCCTCTTCGGCACCGCTCTGCTCGGCCGAGTTCTGGCCTTGCCGAAGGCGCAGCAGCGGCGCAGGGTCTGAAAGATTTGGAGTTTAGGGCCCTTCCACAGAAAGCCTTTGCTCCTGGTTTCACGCTTTGCCTGTGCCGATTTTAGGCAGGTTTTGGGTGTCGCCAGGCTTTTGCTTCCGTGTTTCCCTTTGAGGCTGCACAAACCCCGAGTCAGCAGACGTTCTGTGAGGCTGAAAGTTCGTTCATCGATGCAGGCACTCTGGTTTTGTTCTCTCTGCTTGCATTCGAGAAGATGGTCGAGCCTCAATGGAAACGTGCAATAGCCAAAAGCCACGACCGAAGTGTTGTCTTGGAAGGGCTTTGCGCACTCGTGCGGCACCCAGGGACCGGGGTTGTTTGGTCTCCAATGTTCTCAGTGCAGGCTGCAATACGTTTTGATGATCGTAGTGTGGGGTTGCACCATTGTTTGCACAAGCTTACAATATGCGGTCTGCTTGCACGGGAGGCCTTTGATTCGTGCGATTGAGGGGGGGTCAAAGCTTCGAAGATGCCGGCGGGGCTTTGGGGCGAAGCAGTTTGATTTAAAGATTCTCTGAGCGTTTAAAACTCGAGGGCTGGATTGGGTGCCGGTTTGTGCGCCTGCTGCTTATCATCTGTGATGTGTATGTGTGTATGCATAGATAGGCGTCGCACAGAAGGAGGGAGGAACAGAGAGGGACAAGCAGACGGAGAAGAGGAGAAGCTTCTCACAACCCAGTATCCCAAGACTCTCGTTCCAGCCGTATTCTAGCGAAACCTTGCAGCAAAGATCTTTTGCGTGTTGCTTTCTTTACTGCTTTTCAGCCGGTCAGAACGTTAAAGCCCAAGCGGCTGCGCTGCTGCGCTCCTAACCCACCATCAGCTGGGCATCTCGCCAGAAATACCAAATAAATCTAGGGTGTGAAGTCAAGAGGAGTGGAGAGGGCTTCATGGATCCGGAGCCACCAAGCCCTTAAAAGTAATTCCTCCTTCTACGATTTCAGCCGGTCCTGCGTGTCCGAGTTGAGCGAGGGTCTTCTTTCATTCCAACAATTTGCGGGCATTCACGAAGCGTTGGACAAGCCTGACCGAAATAAGCATCAAAAGCCAACAGACGTCTTGAAATGAGGGCTACACCACGCTTCTGCACGACCGCGCTCGCTTTGACGGCCGGGGTCCTCAAGCCCTGCCGCCTTTCCACCGGTCTTTGGGTGTTTCTGGTTTAGCATGTGAGTTTTGTATGTACGGTGTTGGGGATGTTTGGGAGTTTTGGGCCGTTTATTGGGCTCGGGTTTCGGCGGTTCAGGTTCCGTGTCCAGACTTTCGAGTTTGAACTTGAGCCATTCATTAAGTGGAACAGGCTCGACTCCACGGCACAGTGCCGCTGTGCATGCCGCGGTTGCGAAGTTGAGATTTCTTTGCAGCTCAGGCTGTCTCGGCTTGCTGCCGTCAGACAACAACCACGCTGCTCCTTTATCATATTCTTACCCACCACTACCACTGCCATTTCCACTGCCGCTGCCACTGCTTCTGCTACTACGACTGCTACGACTACCGCGCCTATATGGCTACTGCTACTGCGACTGCTACTACTGCTACTGCCACTGCGACTGCT